TTTTCATAAATTACAGATGTCAGAACAGTAATTCCCTTAGTTGGTATATTGACTTTAATTAAGTAGAACAAAGGGCAAGTGATTAGACTAACAGCCTCAACCCTGACCAAGTCTGGAAAACAAAACTGTGCATTTTTTCATTCTGTTATATCTACACCAAATCTCACTCTATGGATTCAGTAACTAGCTTAGCTTCAATGTATAAACATATTTTGATTTTTCCTTCTCCTCAAAATTTAATTCCATTTTTGTCTGCTCAAATTACACAGATCCATTTAATCTTAACACAGGCCAGCTGGAATTTCTCGGTCAGTTTACTCCTACCCTAACGCCTGAACCATCCACCCACCTGCTTCTCTGCAAGGCCATCCAGCAGGACTAGTTCTGCAGAAAAGAGGCACAAAGAAGAGCAGTAAGAGGGCAATATTCCCTATGAAAAATATCTCCTGTCTTACCATTTTAAAGCAGGAGCTTTAAAAAGGATCTTTACATTAAGCTGGGAATGGAAAAATAATCTAAACATGGGAACAGATGGGCTGCAGGGCTAAAGCAGGAAGGGTTCAGCTTGTTTCTCAAAATAAAATTGAGGTGCAACAGAGTTTTGTTAAAATATCAAAACTAGTCCAGTCCTTCTTAGGGAAATGTTTTTTTAAACAATACATAGCAGAATAGACCTGGATTTCTGAAGGGCACTTCATACTGCAGCAGGTAAGAAATACTAGGAAGGATAGGGATTACTCCATGAATTACAAAGATAAGGGAGTCAAAGAGGTGGAAGGTTACCTGCTGAAGAGGGGAGAACTTCCAGTAGGTTTTTCAAGCATTGGTCTGGGACTAGTCTTGTTAAACATCTTTATTCATTGCTTGGACACAATTTGTAGGTTGTGTTACAGAAATTTGCTGATTGCACTAAGTTAGAGATGAACAAAGAGGAACAGAAGGGAGGAACTAAGAACATTTGCAGTGGAAAGAACACAAATATCCACAGAACAAAGTACTAGGAAAAGTAGCTCTGGTAGAAAGACAACGAATACTGGCATTGCATGAAGTCCATACAGGGACTTAGAATCATAGATTCATAGAATATTTAGGTTGGATAAGACCTTTAAGATCATCAGCTCCAACCATTAACGAATGGTTAACTAACACTGCTAATACCACTAAACTTTGTCCCAAAGCACCTCTTCTACACACCTTTAAAATACCTCCAGGGATGGTGACTCCACCACCTCTACCTGTTCACTTACAGAGTAGGGACCATCGGATGACCTGCTTTCAAAGGGAGATGAACTGAGACCAGCCAAGGAGTACTCAACATCAGGATGATGAAATGGAGAGACAACAGAAGGCCCCAAGATCTTGGCTAATTCAGTCTCACAGGACATGTCGGTAAGTCACGGTTACTCATATGCTTAGACAAATGGTAGTGTCACAGTGAGATGAGTTAAGCTTCGTGGTAATGCCAAGAACATATTCATGTACAACAAACATAAATTTAGTCTCTAAAAGAGGTTCCTAGCCAAGGGAATGAAGTTAGGACAGCCTCTTAGGTGTAGCATACCAGTTGATTGTGAGATTGACTGGTACTCAAACAACCTGGCTGCCTGCAAGAGAAGCAGTCTGAATGTAGAAAAGCAGGACAAACCTCTGGTCCTCTGTGCAGAGGCTTACACAAGCTTGGCAGACAACATGTGCTCACCCATATAGCTCCTTTATTCTTTATTTGTTAACCCTTGGTTTTGTCTTCCTCTGAATTCCGCCTGAAAACAGCTGAAATAGTCTTCCAGCAATCTCAGTGAAAAATATGACTGGTAACATAGCAGCAGCTTGATTTCAAACCAGAAATGATTCTTGCTTCTTGTCCATTCTGTGATTCCTGACACTGATGTCATTCATTCACAGCAAAAAACGGCAGGACAGTAGCCTATGAAGAGGAACATTATTTCACACATCAGAGCTTGTAAGACAACTTGAATCAATTATTTCCCCGTTATTTTTAGATTAAAAAGAAGGAAAGAACAAGGCATTTTAGTTACCATTTGTTCTTTCATACATCAGTCACCATAGCAGGGAGATAGCTACTCACACAGAAAGTGCTTCTTATCAGTGGCAGTTCAGGTATTTCAGGATACTTCTGTTGTCATTCCCGATATTAAAACTCAAGGAATGCAGAAGCAAGCAAATGTTTCAGTTCTTCAGCCCTTGGGCTTTCCAGTTGGGATTGGTGATCTAGAACACGTATCATGCTATTCATTAACTGGACTGTAATCAACATGCCTTGTTCAATCAGCCCTGCCGTTTTCTACCCTTATTTCAATTCAGATCAAGTTCCAGGAAGAAGACAATTCTTGGGGAAAAGTTTGTATTTAAAAAAAACCAAAAACAAACAAACAAAAAAACCCACAAGCAAGTGAGCAAAAGACAGAGCTAGCACAATACTGAGGCACTCCAGATAGTATCAGCTGCAGCCTTTGGTGACACTGCTGGCATCGTTAGCTGGTTTCTAACTGATATTCAGCAGACTCAAATTTCAACAAGCAAAAATCAAACAGGAGTCTAATATTGCAGCTAGCTACTTAGTTAAGTACTAAGAAAGTACTTAACTGCTCATAGGAAGCTTTAAACATTAATTTGTTAGAACAATAAGGTAGGTATGCTTTTGTCAACAGAAACCCTCGATTCATGTGCCAGTCACACGTTGGTAAGATGCCCTGCACCGTGTGAGCATCACCGTTTACATTTCTACATTAGCGGCTAGGAGATGTCAAGTGTGGCTGCCTCCTCCAGCACACACACACATTGTTATGGCCCCTCTGTCCCCCTCAAGGACCCCTGCCCAGACCCTGGCCCTCTGACCCACCACACGTCCCCTGCTCACCGGCTGGTCCAGCTCAATGCTCACTGCAACCACACCGAAGTCCTACAGGCACACCAAAGCCATCATCCCCCCAAACGAGCACAGACCCTCTGCTGACCTGATAGCTCTGCCCAGACGCAGGGCCTCCCATTTACGCACTGGTCGAAGCTTGAGTTAGCTGGCAAACACCCTTGCCTCTCTTACCACTGTCAGTCAAGGTTGTGTCTTTGTAGTTTCCTGCTCATGTTGTCCCTCCTTTCTTGTTAACCCCTTCTACATCTGAAAGGTTCTTGACCAGAAACACTTCAAGGAGCAGCAGCTCTCCCCTTCCACATGCTCCAGCAAACATCTCTACCTCTTCTTGAAATTCACTAAAGATGTCCCTATTCCTTCACTTGTCTGAAGGTCTGCAAGGGAGAACTTCACATTGTAAAAAAAAAATGATGGACACTTCTAACTTGGTCAGTAACTGCTGTAACAAACAAATCCCTCTAGTTACTGCATTAAGGGTCATGGGTAGTAAGCGGACAGATTTAAGCAGCAGCCATACTCATATCTGTTCCTGGAAGTTTCCAGCACTCCCCTATCCACCTACCTGCCCCTCAATGGGTGACACTCAGGCTTTCCTTAAGAGACAGTAACATGGGATTTACACGCAGCATGTGCCAGGTGCCTTCATGTACGTTAAAAAAAAAAAAAATCTGCAGTACATTGTCAGCTTCTGTAGGCATTACTGGACATCTTTGCATAAAGGCTTCAATGTATGTCTTCCCAATGCTGCTAAAGTTATCCCAGTGTGGTTGTTAGAGAAGCGAAGCCAAAGGCATGCACACTGCTACAAGACAGGCAACTTGAATGCTTGGGAGACGTACTTTTCTGAGGCAATACCCTATCCCCCCAACCAACTCTCACATGTACTCACTAGCTCTGCATATTTCAAATTTTATTTCTACTGCTGAAGTTTTGCAACCAATCTTGTTAAAGGTCAGCAGTCGGGGTTACAGAGGCCTTTTGCATTCACAGCAGTTCAAAGGTGCTGCTGTAACACCACTCACTGATGATCACACAAAGTACCTATCCTTGTTAAGCATCAGTGAGGCCTCATAATGAGATACAGTAATGTTTTATACAGGATCATAGCTTAAATCCTAGCACTCTCGACTTCACATTTATTGAAGACAGTCCTATTTTGTACAACACTGAGCATATAGTGTGGCTCTGGGAACCACAGCTGTGACTTAGTTAATGATCTCAATAAATCCTACTTAAGGAGAGACAAGAAGAAAATTATGCAAATGACTATTTCTGTACCACATGTACTCGATAACTGAAGACATACCAAAATAAGCTCCAGCATACAAACACCAACATTTCTTTAATCCACACACATGAAAAATAAACGAAAGGGGGAACAGCTTCCAGCATTTTATTTCAGAATCGTTCCAGAACATTAATTACAAAACTGACAATAAAGAAAACATACGGAAGACATATGTACAAAGATGGATGGTTAAAAACTCAAGAAAGATGACATATTTCAAATGCAGCTGTGAACATGACAGAGAACAGACCTTTTAAAAACATTATGATTAAAGAATCAGTACAGAACTGCTGTTCCCTCAGCACACACATCAGCCAGTCACACTTGGCAGCTAGATAAGATGTCTTCCACCAGCCTCTTGTAGACCCAGGCATCACCTTTAAGCCGTTGTCGTCGGATACCCACTACTTCAGGTTTACTGAGTTGGCACACTTCCAAGTCAAATTCCATAGTTACTTTGCCAAAATCTGACCGTGTTTGACATTTCAGGGTGTAACTGCACAAAACAAAAACAGAATAATCATTGAAATGTTTAATACTTGTTTTGCAATGCAGCTTTTAATTACTAAAAGCGCTTTACAAAAATTATCTCACTGCTCTCCAGAATATTGGGAAACAACCTAGAATTTAGTAAACTGAGAGCTTTGTATACTTCAGTCCCTTAACATGGTTGTTATGCCCAAGTACCAACGTGCAGCACCAGTGTCCTACCCAGCCATAGAAACCAGAGTGGCCACAGACCCCACCATCCTGAGAGTGCAGAGCTGGAAGGAAGGAGATATTCCCATGTTTTTCCCAGACAAGTCCGGGCTCTGCTTTACAGAGACACTGTTGCTGAGAGGCCAGTTACAGTTCAGCTGATAGAGAGAGGGGAAAAACTGAATCTTAAGTTTAAAGGGGAGAAGGTGCTTCTGTGCAGGTCAGTATCCCTCCAGATTCTGAGCCTGGAAATGCACGAGAGGTTTAAGTTTACTCTGACATTCTACAATGCCCATCATTTGAATATTCAAGAACTTCAGAAAATACATATTTATAAGTGAGCACAACATTTCTTTCATGCATTAGGAAATTAGGAAACGGATATTAAGCTTTGATCAGAACTAGGAATCACTCTCATTAGCTTATCCTGGTTAGTAAACCCTACAAATTAAGACAGGCTTACACAAAGGTATGGATTCCGTGCACCTTTGAAAATACACTTACTTCTTGGTTAAATGCTCATGTGTTTTAACTGCCAAGAATGAGGGTTAAAAGGTACCAACATTATCTCCCAAAACTGTCTGATTTAGTCATCTGACTGTGCCTTAGCAAACCCTTTGTATTTACAGTTTCATAAGAGAGGTTGAAGTGAATTTTGTTCAAGAGCTACCTCCTCATTACCGGTTCATGTCTGTCAGTCAGGGCTCTATTAGAGCTCACTTAACACTGTTCTGCAGTGTGTAGACGACTTTTATTGCACATATTCATCTGCTGCTCTGTACACATTTGATAAAAACTATTCTATTTTACAATGTGAAGCTGAAAAAGTAAATTCAAATGCTTAATCTTATCAAGTATCGGAGTATTGTCTATGTAGACAAATATAAGTTGAATTACCCACTTACCCCTTCTGAACATATTCCACATGCTTCTTTGAAAGAACAGTAACCATTTCATTCAACAGCTGGTCTGGATTCAGTAGCTGAGTGGTGGTGACATTACAGTGTGCCTAAAAGTAGTCAGCTCATTAAAAAAACAAACAAACAAAACCAACCCACACCAAGAAAAATTCTCCTAAAACTGAAAATATTACAAGAAGTTTTCATAAAGAAAGCTTCAGAACAAGTAACCGTAGTGACAAGTCTTTTGATTTCCCAATATTATCATAAGAAAGACATTGTAGTAGCAACAGGAACACTAAAAGACTGCTGGACAGTTAATATCAAAGCATATCCAAACTATAATCCATCAAAATCCAAAGTGGCAGCGATAGGCCAGGGCAGCACAGAGGCTACTAGAAGCATTGTATGTAGCCAGAGGCAATTCCTGTAGAAGCCTACAGAAAGTAGATAGCCAGACAACTGTTCTTAGAGCACCCTATGACAGGCTCCACAGCTGGGAGACTGCCGACAGAGTCCTGCCTAGCTGTGACTTCCAGTATCAAGGAACAGGCATAGCGCCATGTGGCTCTTCTAGGACTCAAGGCATCACCACGTTTAAAGAAAAAAGGTAACTTATTACTCCTAAGTTAACCATTATAGGGGCTTTACACTGCATCTTAGAGTTCACATGATGGGCTTGTCCCGTATGTGACTCCTTGAACAACCTTCAGACACCCATATGCAATGAGGGAAAGCATATGCCAACTGCACTGTGCTGCAGACACACTACCTGGCTTTCAGAAGCCACAGAACCAGAGAGAAGATAAGACCATGAAATGGCTTGAGAAATGAACATGGGCTGAGGATGCAAAGTCAGAGTAAAAGACTGGTTATAATAGATCTTATTCTGCCTAAAACCCTATGCCACTCCCTGACATAACTGCTGTAACACTATGAAATAAAGTTCTGTCTTCCCTGGTTGTACTTCAGTGTCCTCAGGCATGCACCTGTGACATTCTTCCCAGAGTGGTGAGGCACTGGAACAGGTTGCCCAGAGAAGCTGTGGATATCCCATCCCTGGAAATGTTCAAGGCCAGTCTTGGTGGGGGTTTGGGCAACCCGGGTTTGTGGAAGGTGTCTGTGCCTATGGCAGGGGGGTTGGAACTAGATCATCTTTAATATTCCTTCCAACCCAAACCATACTATGATCCTATAAGCCATCATTTTACTTATACTGTGGACAAATGAAATGGGTGCACCAAAGGATAAAAAATTTAGAGACAGAAGATCTAGCTTTTCTTTTAATTGCTCAGCTTCCTGAATTACTGGCACAGGCTGGACTCCTGTACAATGAGGTGGTCAGGTTTGTAGCCCAACACATGTCCTGACCTTGCCAGACTGCCACCTTGCCTCTGACAAGTGCTTCTTGGAAAAGCTTTCAGCTGGAATACAGCAGCTGAATGCCACCTGCAGAGGCTGCAAGCCACACTGTGGTCCTTTTACTGACAGAGAGCTCTTACTATACAGCCAGTGCCCTAACAGCTTCAGCTCCAGGGGCCAGTCAGCTACAGGTAAGCATCACTTCTTTCTATGGAACTGGTGATGTCTCAGTAATGGCCCTGCCTCTTTCAGGTTAATCATGGTTTTCAAACACGTCATCCATAGATTCACGTATAAATTCTTTCTTTTATAACTTTTGAAGTATATTAGTTGCTTTTGAGTGATGTATACATTTCTGTTCACTACGCAAGTATTACACCAATGCCATTTGATGTGTATTGTACAAAGCTAAGATTAACTTTGTGGGTGAATTTTAGTAGATCCGAATTATTAATGTAATTTTAAAGTGCTCTGTGCAAAGCATTAGCTGAGGATCTGCTTTTTCCATAGCTATTTAAGGAAGAATAAGTAGCCAATTGGCTCAGACACAATGGCATCAAAACTTTAATAATCTAAACTATGTGGACAGTGTCTGAAATTCTTTTGTAAGGTATAGTTATTTAGACAAAGTTTAATCTCAGGGTCTTTTGACATCTAAAGACTATCTTGGAACAGATCTACTGCTCCTCATCTGTGGAAACACAACCCAGCAATGTTATCAGAATTCTTTTTTTTTTTTTTTTAGTGGAAAAACTAGCAGCATCTCCATAAAATACCATGATTAAAATTTTTCAGCTACAGTTTCTTTAAAATCACCCTGCTTCCCTCACATTTGGTTGAGATAGGATATAAGAAGCAATGGCCAAACTCTTCCCTTGATCTGTTGGGACTTGTCCAGACAAAGACAAGTCTCTTGGCTGACTGTGACATTACCATGTTAACACAGACACATTCAGAGCAACTGCACTTCATTGCAGAATGCAGCCAAGTCAGATGACAGTGGTTTTCACAAGACCATTTCTAAAAGTATTGGATGTTTTCAATAATTATATTCCTTTTCATGTAAAAATTTTCCAGCAGTCATACCTTAAGTTTCCTTGGACGATCTCTAGTCGATCGTTTCTTTTTGCTTGGCGTGAGCATTGTAATCACTTTATCTAGGCGTCTCTCAAGATTTCCAAATATTTTGGCTTTTCTCTTCTTTTGACTTCTGCCCACATGAGCTAGGTCAAGATCTAATTCCACTGAATGACACCTGTTACATGAACAAGTTAATCAGTTGTTTTTCCTCAGTGTTTAGAAGTTAGTTATTTCAGATACATCACTATGATATTACCAGACCTGACAGAATGAAGGAAACCAAAAGCAAGCATGGTGCGTTATAAGAGTTTGTTTGAAAATCAGTTGAGATTTAAACCCAGAGGTATACATACAAACTGCAGCCCTCTGAGGAACTGGAATAAGGAGGAACTTACATTATAGAAAATAGGAATATATTTTGAAGATAATTGAGTTATATAGTTTTAAAATTTGCTCTGCCTTCAATGTTTTCTAGTGAATGTAGAAAGAGGTTTAGGAAGGTTTTTTACCAAAAGAATAGAAATAACAGCTTGCTGTTGTAACAAGGCTTCCTAGGCAGTACATGGATTAAGGCAGTCCCATTCTAAATCAAAAGTGTCACAGATAACTGGACATTTACCTTCTTTCAAGAATAACCTCAGCTGCTGTCAGTTCATCTGTGTTTGTGGATTTCTGAATTGGGGTGACTGTATTGACCTGGCTCCCTGAAAGAAAGTATCCAAGCCAAAGCATGTATGTTTTTGCATAAAGGATTTTATTTTCTTCAGCCAGGATTTCTCATGATTAGTAATTTATTTCTAAACCCAGTCCACTTCTCAATCTCAGGTCTGTATCTTCAGAATGATAAAAATATGTTAACAGTACAACAACGATACTACCACTACTCTAACAAAGGAAATCCGTGACTAATTTCCTGAGGGCTCTAGAAATTAAGCCTTAGAGGAACCAGTGCAGTTCAATGTTGGAAATCCGGAAAGGAAGAGGATTAGAATCACTTTCTTGCTCTGCTACTGGTCCCATAATAAATACTAGGAAATTCACTATATTGAACAGTTATGTTCTTTACCAAGCCATTTCCTTTATATGAAGGGCATGGGTTTTATATAGCCATGTTTAATAATACACCCTACGTAACTCATAACAGAACACACACTAAAAAGTTCTACTACCCACATTAGAGTTCTGCTGAGCCTGGGTTTGAATGCACAGAAGTAAACACCAACTGAAACAGTGAGCAAATGAGTTGTTGCAATTAAACACAAATTCAAAGTTTCAGCGTCTACAGAATTGCACCTAGCCTCAGACAATGATGATCTCAAAGTTTCCAATGGACCCTTCCACTTTTCTGTCTCTAAGAACGAATAATGCCACTCTTCCTGAATCAAAGATATTTCAGTGAAACAAACAATTCATAGAATCAGAGGGATTTGGGTTGGAAGGGACCTTAAAGACCATCTAGTTCCAACCCCCCTGCCATGGACGGGGACATCCCCCACTAGCCCAAGTTACTCAAAGCCTCATCCAGCCTGGCCTTGAACACCTCCAGGGATGGGGCATCCACAGCTTCTCTGGGCAACCTTTTCCAGTGCCTCACCACCCTCTCCGTGAAGAATTTAATTAGCTTTTAATTGTTTAATCCTCAGAAATATCTCACTAAAAATGAGCTGAAACAGTGTTTCTGCATTTCCCATTTCAGAACGAGTACCTACTTTTGCTTTTTAAACTTACCATGAAGTCAAACTTCACAAGTGACCACAGTTTTGTCTTAAGACAAAAATCAAACTCAAACAACTAGTCTTTTTAGTGCTCTTCCTTAAATCCTTTACAGAGGATGTCATTGAAGTGAAGCATGCCCAAGATCCCTTATAACCTGAATCAGACCACAAAGACTAACTTCTTGAACAATGTGTCTTAGGACTGGAACAGGAGTCTCCTATTGCAAGAACTTCTTGGCATTTGACAGACAGTATTAGCATTTACAGTATCAGCACCAAAAAAGTTATGTTAATGGTGGAAGGGAATGGTAATGTACATAGGATCAATCACTTTCATAAGAATGGAATACACAAACTGAGGACAGAAATTTTCAGTAACTCAGGAGAGCTGACATAGTTTAGAGAGACTTCTGTGGTCTATTGCATCACTGTAAGATATACACATTAACAGAAATATTTTCACTGCCACACTAGACTGTTACCATGAGAAACCCAAAGTTAAGTTTCTCCTAGAAGAAGCAATAAAAACAGATGTGACTAAAAGTACACATTTATTTCCGCTCAAGGTAATAACAAAGGAAAAACAGAGTGTTGAGGAAATTACGTTCTTGAACTTCATGCAAAAGTGAAAAGAGATACAAGTTTTTGGAACACAGCAATTGGCTTCATGTCACAGTGTGCCAAGAGGCATACACATGCGATACTGCCAGCAGCAATGACTTCTGCAATTAACACACAGTGACATATGAAGACATATTGTTAAACCTCTGGCAGCATCTTACCAGGTGTACTGGAAGAAGCAGGCTGGTGAATACGACAAAACAAGTCAAGTCTTCTGGAAACCGTTGTGTTGGAAACACAAGTATTGTCTTCGTATTGTCTTAGTCAGCAGGGCACTCAGCAGTGGCAGCAGCTTGTGCCACAGATCGGTGCTCGATTGAAGGAAGCAAAGGGGTTCCCGAACCCCAAGGAGCACAGAAGGAGCCGGGCAGCCCACGTGATACCGGCAGCCCCTGCCAGAGCGACTGACGTTACTCGGGGGCAGTGCCAGGAGCAACGGCGGGGGATTTAATCCCTGCCCAGGGAGCGCGAGCGACCCGGAGCGCTGCGAACAGAGCGGGCAAACAGGGCATGGCGCACCATTTCGCGCGAGTAGGCAGGACTCAGCCATGGTGGTCACCCGGAGGAAAGCCACTGCTAGGAGAGACGTGGCAACTCAGACGGGGCTCCTGCTCAGGGATGCAGCTCTCCAACTCTCTGCCTGCAGCGAGTGCCTGAGCCTGTGC